GAACAAAATGCAGAGATTTGTAGACTGGATAATAAAACAACAAGATCCATTATCTTCATGTTCCTGGAATTTGTGATACAAAGAACAATGTATAGCTAATCAATAATTTCTGTCATCATAATGTAAATTTTTGGTAAAAATCTTAGGAACTGTCTCCCCTTTTCCCTTTAAAAACCTATTTTTGTAACTGCTGCTAATCAGAGTGCTGTATTAGGGAAATTTTTATCTATACTCACAAGTTAAAGCCCTCATACTTAGGCCAAATAAACTCTACTTTTATCTATTTTTATTTTATTTTTATTTTTTTAAGATGGGTCTCACTTTCTCACACACACCCCCTCTACACACACACACACAGTACCCTGGTGTCACAGCTCAGAGTAACTGCAAACACTTAGGCTCAAGTGATTCTCTTGCTTTAGCTTCACAAGTAGCTGAGACTATAGGCACCCACCACAATGCCTGGCTATTTTTAGAGGCGGGGTCTTGCTCTAGCTCAGGCTGGTCTCAAACTCCTGAGCTCAAGCAATCTGCCCACCTTTGCCTCCCACAGTGCTGGCATTACAGGATCTACCTGTATTTAAAAACAAACAAGCAAACAGTCTTAGGCTTGTGCGTGGCAGAGGTCTAATCTTCTAGTCCATAGCTTGCCCCATGCATGCCTGTGCCACCCGTGGCCTGTGGCACAGCCCTCAGCCTGCAGGATCAGCAGCACAATGGGGGCATGGGCTCCCAATTACTGAGGCTCCTTTCCTGGCCTTGGCGCAGATGTGACAATGCTCAGTCACCTGTTGTCCTACATAAGCTGCTCCTCTAGGTGGGTCATGAGCTGATGCCCCTTACCCTTGGAACCAATGTGCTAGGGAAGAAGGTGCTCTATCTGCCAAGCTTCTTCATCTGTATGATCATGTACATCATGCAAGTAAATGGTAAGATAGGGCTGTTCTGAGGCCTAAGTCCCTGACCGATGTCCAACGCCCTCTCCACTATGATCTGGGGCAGTACAAAGAGGATTTTTCCTCCAGATGAGACTGAAGTTTCCAAAAAGGATGATGTGAAGACTTCTCTGAATAAAACACTGAGGGACACCTCCTACAAGAAGATGATGCAGTGTATGTCTTGCATGCTGGCCCATCCCCTGAGTGTTATCTCAACGTGCTACATGGTACAATTTGTGGACGGAAAGCCAAGTGTAATGGTGTGAACTCCATTGGGAAGATTTTCAAGAGGGGCTGCTGGGATTCTTCGTGGGCTTAGTCCCTCACTTCCTGGCAGTGGGGTTTTCTTGTGGGGCTATAACCTGCTGGCCCACTTGTCAATACCTACCTGGTGGATGACAGCTTCAGTGAGGGCCAGACCATCCCAAGCTATACCAAGTTTGTGATGAGCGCAGTGAGCGCAGTGACCCTCCTGCTGGTTAGCTGTCTTGTGGCTGTGAACAACTGTGGGCTGCAGGCTAGGCTCCCTTCTTATTCCCCAGTGTTCAAATCCTGATTCACTGTTGGAAGTACCTGAGTATGCAGAGCCAGCTTTTCCGAGGCTCTGGCCTGCTTTTCTACCAAGTGTCATCATGATCATGCTTTGCCCTGGAGTTTCTTCCTACTTCACAGATTTATTGAGTCTGCCTTGTGCAGGGAGCCAGAGAATGGCTTGTGGAGGCCCAGGTTGGACTCGGAAAGGCTAACGGGTCAGATCCGAACCCCAACCCCTGCAGCTCAGCTAGGAGCATCATTCTCCCACTTTGTAAATAGGATATGATGCCCCTTCATGAGGCCACCATCATGTCTAGGCCTTTGCAGTGAAGTTAATGCTAGGTTTTGCCTTTGTATTTCTCAACACTACTTTTCTGATATGAGGGCAGCACAATCTTTTTTTTTTGAGACAGTTTCCCTTTGTCATCCTCAGTAGAGTGCCGTGGTATCACAGTTCATAACAACCTCAAACACTTGGGCTCAAGTGATTCTCTTGCCTCAGCCTCCCAAGTAGCTGGGACTACAGGCATCCACCACAATATCCACCTATTTTTAGAGAGGGGACCTTGTTCTTGCTCAGGCTGGTCTGAACTCTTAAGCTCAAACAATCCACCTGCCCGGGCTTCTCAGAGTGCTAGGATTACAGGCATGAGGCAGCATGCCCTGCCCAGCACCATCTTCTGAAGGGGAATCATGTGACTATTCAGAATGTGTTCCCCTCATCTAATGCTCCTCTGTTTAATGGTGATGCCTTACATGTAGGATCTGGTTACCTATGCAGTCGTTAATGTCCAGAGGTTAGGCAGTCAGTGTTTCTAGTTCTGCTCACTTTACAACTTCATGGTAAGATTCAACCCTGTCTCCCTCAGATAAATGTATTGGTCATGATTTGGGGAAAATAAATGAAATAAAATAAAACATAAAATAAAATAAAAAATAAAACAAACCCCCCAAAGTTCCAACAGGATGATGTTTCTGTGTATGTCTTTAGATTCAAAGATACAAATAGTAAAAGCATAGGAAAAATAAGCCATGGTAACAATAAGAGAACAGGAATGGCTATGTTAATATCAGCCAAAAAGTTAAGATTAGGTATATTACTAGGGACAAAGAGGGACATTTCATAATGATAAAAGGATCAATATAGGGGGAAAATACGACAAAGATAAATGTATATGCATTTTAACAGAGCTCCAAAATAAATGAACCAAAATTTGACAGAACTATAAAAAGAAGTAGACAATTCGACAACTATTAAATGATGATTTTAATATTCCTTTGTATTAGTCTATTTTCTGTTGCTTATAACAGAACATCTAAAACTGGGTAATTTATAAAAAATAGAAATTTATTTCTTACAGTTATGGAGCCTTAGAAGTCGGAGGTAGAATGGCTACATCTGGTGAGAGCCTTCTTGCTCGCAGGGTCTCTCTGAAGAATACTAAGGCAGTGCAACGTATCACATGGTGAGGGAGCTACATATGCTGATATGCTATGCTCAGGTCTTCCTTGCTCTTCTCAGAAAGTCACCAGTTCTACTCTAATGATAACTGATTAATCCATGAATGTATGAATCCATCCAAGAGGGCAGAGTTGCCACGACCCAATAGCTCTTAAAGGCCCCACCTCTCAATACTGCAACACTGGGAATTTAACTCAACATAAGTTTTGCAGGTGACAATACTAGAACCATGGTATTCTTTCTTAGTAATTGGTACAGTAATAAGAGTGAACATCAGTAAGAATATAGAAGACTTGGGCAGCGCCTGTGACTCAAAGGAGTAAGGCCCTGGCCCCATATGCTAGAGGTGGCTGGTTCAAACCCAGCCCCGGCCAAAAACTACAAAAAAAAAAAAAGAAAAGAAAATAGAAGAGTTGAGAAACTGTATTAACCAAATGATCTAACTAATCAAAATGAAATATTCAACCCACCTGCAAAATGCAGTCTCTTGAAACACACATGGAGTATTCTCTAAGACATATCATATGCTAGGCCATAAAACAAGTCTCAATAACATTAAAAAGACTGAAATTATAAAGTACATTTTCCATCCACTAGAAATTTAAATTAGAAATCAGTAAGTATTCACCAAATAGTATTTGGTTGTACAAAATAGACTAAGCCTTTTTTTTTTTGAGACAGAGCCTCAAGCTTTCACCCTGGGTAGAGTGCTGTGGCATCACAGCTCACAGCAACCTCCAACTCCTGGGCTTAAGCGATTGATTCTCTTGCCTCAGGCTCCCAAGTCAAGTAGCTGGGACAACAGGCGCCTGCTACAACACCCGGCTATTTTTCGTTGTAGTTGTCATTGTTGTTTTGCAGGCCTGAGCTGGATTTGAACCTGTCAGTTCTGGTTTACACGGCTGGCGTCTTAGCTGCTTGAGCTACAGGTGCCAAACCTAAGGCTTTTCAATATGCCTTGATTTATTACCAAATATAATTGCTCTCTTCTATTTAAATTTCATATGCATGATATAGTCTCTTCCTTACTATCTACCTTTCTTCTTAATTACCCATTTTTACAACACAATGTAAACGTATGCCACTTTTATAACCAGGGAAAGATGACATAAATACATAACTCTAGGTTCCATTTCCTTCAGAAAATTCCTCCCTGATTATTAAGCCAACCATTTTTGAAATATTTTCCATGAAATTACTAACCTACCTACCACTTAACACCTTGTTTATTCTCTGATTATAATTTTACTTCAAATTATTAAGGATTAATTTAGAATTGAGGTTTTGTACTCTCCCTCCATTTTAGATAAAAAGTGAATTATCACACAGAATCACATCTATAAAATAGACAAAAATTCTGAGGAAAGTACTGACTGAACAACTTTGTTTTATTCAGTTATTAGAAATGGATTATTTTGAGACCCTAAAACCGTAAGAACAATGAACTAACTAGACAAGGCTGGTTAGGAAAGGAATATTAATGATGTGAAATGTAAAATATAGAATAATTTAAAGTTTACAAATTTGAAACTATACATAGCTATACTTACTCAATGAATCTTAAATTTCATCTCTGCTGGTAGTTTTAGTTTATACTGTAGTAGATGTTACTTTGAACAAGTACACTTTTTTCCAATTACTTTCAAAGCAGATTTCATGAAGGAAGGAAGAATAACCTCAACAATAAGTGTACTGTAAAACTACAGCTTAAGATTTCCAAATTTAAGCCATTTCTCTAACAGTGATTATTTTGGTTAAAAATTACAAGTCCTGGGCAGTGCCTGTGGCTCAAAGGAGTAGGGCACTGGCCCCATATGCCAGAGGTAGTGGGTTCAAACCCAGCCCTAGCCAAAAACTGCAAAAAACAAAACAAAACAAAACAAAAAAACCCTACAAGTCCCAGGCAATGCCTGTGGCTCAAAGGAGTAGGGCGCTAGCCCCATATGCGGGAGGTGGTGGGTTCAAACCCGGCCCTGGCCAAAAGAATGCAAATAATAATAACAATAAAATAAAATAAAAAAATAAAAATCACATGTCCAAATAGTAATAAGATTGTCTTCACTTACCTGTAACTTTGGTTCCAATAACCAGAGGCAAAGGGATTTCATCTGGGAGATCTTTAAATTGTGAAACATCTGCAACTTTCCTCTGTTGTAACAGCCTTATTTTCTGCCGTTTCTGTTTTAATGCTGATCTCTCTTCCTCAAAAAATGCAGAAGAACATCTAGAATAAATTACGAAAATCATATAAACTGATAACTAGCCTATATAAACTTAAAATCTGATCATTTATCTCACTCCCCTCTTTTTTCTTCTCATTCTTTGAGTATACTGAATTTTAAAAACGGATTCCTAGAAATTGTTTCTCTTCAAAATAAACTACTTTTAAGTTTTTAAAAAACAGAATCTTGGCTTGGCGCCTATAGCTTAGCGGCTAAGGCACCAGCCACATACACCAGGGCTGGCAGGTTCGAACCCAGCCCAGGCCTGCCAAACAACAATGACAACTACAACAACAACATAATACCCAGGTATTATGGTGGGTACCTGGAGACCCAGCTACTTGGGAGGCTGAGGCAAGAGAATTGCTTAAGCTCAAGAGTTTGAAGTTGCTGTGAGCTGTGACGCCACAGCACTCTACCAAGAGTGACACAGTGAGACTCTGTCTCAAGAAAATAAAAACAATAAATAAATAAAAATAAAAAACAGAGGCTTGGTGCCTGTAGCACAGTGGTTACGACGCCAGCCACACACACGGAGGGTGGTAGGTTCAAACCTGGTCTGGGCCAACTAAACAACTGCAACAAAAAAGTAGCCAGGCAACATGGAGGACGTCTGTAGTCCCAGCTAGTTGGGAGGCTAAGGCAAGAGAATCACCTTTTAAGCCCAAGAGTTTAAAAGTTGCTGTGAGCTGTGACACCATAGCACTCTACTGAGGGTAACATAGTGAGACTCTGCCTCAAAATAAATAAATGAATAAATAAAAAAATAAAAAAACAGAATCTCGCAACACTCAAAAATATATAAACAGATATATGTTATTTCTACTCACAAAGCAAAAGAATTTGTTCATCATCCTTTGACAAAATTGTGTCTGAAACCCAGGTCTCCTTATGAGGACAAAGTTCATTTTTGAAGCCAGGCACGACAACTCATGCCTATAATCCTAGCACTCTGGGAGGCTGAGGTAGATGGATCACCTGAGCTCAGGAGTTCAACACCAGCCTGAGCAAGAACAAGACCTCATCTTTAAAAATAGCCGAACACTGTGGCAAGCGCCTGTGGTCCCAGCTACTTGGGAAGCTGACACAAGAGAATTGCTTGTGCTCAAAGAGTTTGAGGTTGCTGTGAGCTATGATTCCATAGCACTTTACCAAGGGTGACCAAGTGAGACTCTTGTCTCAAAAAAATAAAATAATTTTTTTGTATTGAGACAGAGTCTCCCTCTGTTGCCCAGGCTAGAGTGCAGTGGTAACACCATAGTTCACTGTAACCTAAAACTCCTAGGCTCAAGCATTCTTCCTGTGAGTAGCTGGGACTACAGGCACATGCCAGTGTGTCTGGCAAATTTTTCTATTCTTTGTAGAGACAGAGGTCTTACTATGTTGCTCAGACTGGTCTGAAACTCCTGTTCTCAAGCAATCCTCTCACCTAAGCCTCCCAAAGTGTTAGAATTACAGGCATGTGCCACTATAACCTGCCTGAAATTTGTAAATTTTATAGATGTTATCACACCACCCTCCAGAGATTACATAAAATTAATCTTTCACCAGCAAAATATGTAAGAATGACTATTTCACCACACCATTACTAACCAACCATGCCAAAGCTTTATGAACTTTGTCAATCTGATAGTTAAAAAACAATACTTTCGTTTTCCATTCCCTATCATGAATAAAACTGAACTTTTTCAAGTTTGGAAGAGGCATTCTTTTTCCTTCCTCATGAATTATCTGTCCATCTTTTTTTTTTCCTTTGAGACAGAGTCTCACTTTATCGCTTTTGGTAGAATGCCGTGGCGTCACAGCTCACAGCAACCTCCAGCTCTTGGGCTTAGGTGATTCTCTTGCCTCAGCCTCCCAAATAGCTGGGACTACAGGCACCCGCCACAACGCCCGGCTATTTTTTGTTGCAGTTTGGCCAGGGCCAGGCTTGAACCTGCCACCCTCAGTATATTGGGCTGGTGCCCTACCCACTGAGCCACAGGCACCACCCCTGTCCATCATTTTTATAGTATGAGGCTCTGTCTCAAAAAAAAAAAAAAAAAAAAACTTAGGATGTTAAGTAGTTTATGCCAAGATCAGGTTATGTCTTCCTATTTGTTCTTTATGTTTCTTGCACATTTCCTATAAAGTTTTTTCTGGGTAGTTTATCTTTTTTTGTTTTTATTATTTCTTCTTTTTTATCTCCTAATTGGATACGGTTTCACCAACTAATTTTTACAATTAGGATATGCTTAAAAGTTTATTATACCAATAATTTGTATTGTATCTTGACTTCCTCAGGCAAAAACAAAAAACTACCAATTTTTGCTGAAACCAGACTTCAACTATTAATCAACCTTGATAAATTTAAAAGACTATAAGATTAAATAATGAAGTAATGTTATGGTAAGAGAACATAGAATAAATTAACAAGAGAAATAACTATAATGATATTCTTAAACTGCAGAATTATAATAAAACAATAAAATAATGACTAATACCTCACTCTACAGACAATAATCAGAAATAGTATACAGGCAGAGCCCATGCACAGTGGTTACAGTTGCTAACCACATGCACTGAGGGTGGCAGGTTTGAACCCAGTCTGGGTCAGCTAAACATTAATGACAACTGCAATGAAAAAACAACCAGGCATTGTGGCAGGTGCCTGTGGTCCCAGCTACCTGGGAGGCTCAGGCAGGAGAATCGCATAAGCCCAAAGGAGTTTGAGATTGCTGTGAGCTGTTGTGCCATGGCACCGTACCGAGGGCAACAGTTTGAAGACTGTGTCTCAAAAAAAGAAAAAAGAAATAGTATATAAGCTTAATTTGCTCAACCAGGCAAAATCACAGCAAAAACCCTCAAATGGCCTAATGTAATTATAAGAGACCATAAATTAACAGAATGAAACAAACCAACACACCAGGTTTTTAAATTTTGTTATTGTGAATGGGAGAAATGTTAAAAATATCATCAGTAAGGTCATCTTTTAGTATAAGGAATAAAATATTAGCAGTTCAATTAAAAGTGCTTGCATTTCATCATCTAACAAGATCATTAAAATTAAATTCCATTTCTACTTGTCCAAGTCACTTTGCATTTCTGGACTTTTTTTTTTTTTTTTTGTAGAGACTGAGTCTCACTTTATTGCTCTTAGTAGAGTGCTATGGCGTCACACAGCTCACAGCAACCTTCAGCTCTTGGGCTTAGGCGATTTTCTTGCCTCAGACTCCTGAGTAGCTGGGACTACAGGCACCCCCCACAACGCCTGGCTATATTTTATTGTAGTTTGGCCGGGATCAAGTTCAAACCCACCACCCTTGGTATATGGGGCCGGCGCCCTACTTACCGAGCCACAGGTGCTGCCCCAATGGCTATTTTTTTTATTGTTTTTGCAGTTGCCATTGTTTTAGTTGGCCCAGGCTGGGTTTGAACCCACCAGCTTTGGTATATATGGCTGGTGCCCTACCTACAGAGCTATGAGCGCTGCCCTGTTTATGTTCATTTTTTTTAGAATTAAGGCCTCACTATACTGCCTAGGCTGGAGTGCAGTGGCTATTCATAGGTGTTATACAGCCTTAAACTCCCAGCCTCCGACCTCAGTGATCCTCCGACCTCAGCTCCCAAGTAGATACATAGGATTACAGTTGCATGCTACTACACCTGGCAACTTATTTATTTATTTAAGACAGTCTCACTGTGTCGCCCTCTATAGAGTGCCAAAGCATCACAGCTCACAGCAACTTTCAACTCTTGGGCTTAAGCGATTTTCTTGCCTCAGCCTCCCAAGTAGCTGGGACTACAGGTACCCACCACACCACCTAGTTATTTTTTTTTTTGCAGTTATGACTGTTGTTTAGCTGGCCCAGGCCAGGTTCGAACCCACCAGCTTTGTCATATGTGGCCGATGCTGTAACCACTGTGCTACAGGTGCCAAGCCTATTTATGTATTTTTGAGACTGATTATCACTTTGTCACCCTCTGTATCATGCTGCAGCATCATAACTCACTGCAACCTCAAACTCTTAGACTAAAGCAATTCTCTTGGCTCAGCTTTCCAAGCAGCTAGGACTATAGATGCCTACCTATAATTCTAGAGACTGGGATCTCACTCTTGCTCAGGCTGCTCTTGAACCCATGAGATCAGCCAATCCACCTGCCTCGGCCTCTGAGAGTGCTAGTATTACAGGCACGAGCAACCTCGCCCAGCCCACCTGGCAGTTTTTAAACAAAAATATTATTTTTACCTCCGTGGTTTTCCCATAAGCCGCCTGATTTTTCCCCATTCTACTCTTGTTAACTTTCTTGTTTTCAAATTAGGGAAAGATTCTTTTAGACACACACAGAAGTCATTATCGCCTTCAAAAAGTGGTCTGTAAGACAGAAATGGTATTTTAATGGTTATATATAATGTGTTATTTTCTTCAAAAACATAAAATTCAAAATATGCATTCCATTTCCACATCATATTATTTATAAAATGTCAAATCTTCACTTCTACCCCAAATATATATATGTATACAAACTAGACACAAATTCCAAATGCTAAGACTAAACTAAATACTTTGCATTTCTCAAAAACTGGTGTCTAAAAGTTAATAAGGAAATACTGTCTGTGCTTATGATGGCAACAGATGCTGATTTTTGTTCAATCATTGGAATTAAACCAGCCTTAGAACACTGGAGGACTCTAGAGAGTTAAATCAATTTTAGGGGCTTCTGGAAGAACTCAGGTCACACCAACAGGTCTTGAAAGCTCTCTTAAGCCTACAGAAAATCTGTAAGCAACAATAAACAATTCTATTCATAGTTTGGGAAAAGAGGAACCAGTGTTAGCAATGATACATAAATGCCTTGGGCTCAAACATAAATATCCATGAAGTTCATGAGCTTCAGAGTAAGCAACTGGTTTGGAAAACAGAAGGAAAGTAAAGATAAATAGCAAAGCAAGCTTCAATGACCACCATATGAGGACGGATTAGAAGCCAGAAGTTTTCCTCAGTAAATTCTATTGTTGAATAATTAGATTTCAGCCAAATTTCTTACCATGTTCTACTTAAACATTTATGTATAAATGCTTAAGTACTATCCCCCAAATAGAAAGATTACCTTTCTAAAAAAATCTGTGGGTTTCTTTTTTTTTTTTTCCTGAGACAGAGTCTCGCTCTTTCGCCTGGGCTAGAGTACCATGGCTTCAGCCCAGCTTATAGCAACTTCAAATACTGGGGCTCAAGCAATCCTTCTGCCTCAGCCTCCCAAGTAGCTGGGACTACAGGCACATATCACCCTGCCAAAGGTGTTTTCACCATTAAGTTAGCAATGGTTTCTCTGCAAATAATAGTTCTTTGTTTAAAGTTTCTTTATTCCATGGTCTTTGTAAATTACAATACAGAAATTATTCTTACATTAATTTTTCCCAAGAATGTATAACGTCTTCCCCAAAAAGAAGAAAGGGGGTGGGGGGAGAAAACTATAAGAAATAGAAAAGGATCAAACTGTAATAAGGAATAAAAAAATGAATTCTGGAAAAAATAAGATCAAAATAGACTTATAGAACACTATAGTTTCTAACATTTGAAAAACTTAAAATTTTGGTTAAAGTAATTTTCATGATGTAAGCCATGATACATACTTATCTATATTTGAATAGAACCACTCATATATGCACCATTTATGTGCTTTGGGAAGCTTGAGTAGATTACGTAATCGAAAACCAATCTTCTGTGATGCTTTCTTATCTGGTGTTGACATTGTTGCTGTAAATTTCTATAAAATAAAAACGTAGAGATTAATTACCCATTAAGTAAAAATGAACATTTGTAACACTGAATAAATTTGCAAAAAGGTAAATTATGTTTATTTACTCAAAAAGATTCAAAAAGGGCTCAGTGCCTATAGGGCAGCAGCTAAGGCTCCAGCCACATACAGCAGAGATGGCGGGTAAGAACCCAACCCGGGCCTGACAAACAACAATCACAACTACAACCAAAAAAAATAGCCAGGCCTTGTGGCAGGCACCTGTAGTCCTAGCTACTTGGGAGGCTGAGGGGAGAGAATTGCTTAAGCCCAGGAGTTGGAGATTGCTGTGAGCTGCAATGCCACAGCACTCTATCCAGGGCAACAGCTTGAGGCTCTGTCTCAAAAAATAAAATAAAATAAAATAAAATAAAATAAAATATCTGGGCATTGTGGTGGGCACCTGTAGTCCCAGCTACTTGAGAGGCTGAGGCAAGAGAATCGCTTCAGCCCAAGAGTTTGAGATTACTGTGAGCTGTGGCACCACAGCACTCTACTGAGAGTGACATAGTGAGACTGTCTCAAAAAAAAAAAAAAAGATTGAACATGAAATTTTTATCATTTAACAAATAAATCTAATTATTTATTTCAAAGTTAAAGACTCCACTTTCATAAAATACTCTGGTAAGGAAGGTGAAATACCCCACCCCATGTTACACTGCAATACAATTCCAATTTAGGGATGCAGGAAGAAGAAACTTATGTGAAATATTTCTAGATTTCACAGGCCAGAAAAGACCAGTAAGAAAAGAAAAAAGTGTGAAAGACGGACAGACACACACACACAGAGAAAGAGACAGAACATGCAAGTGAGCACTAGGCCCAGAAGGTTTCATCAGTGAATTCTATAAAAAAGAAACCAGAGAACTCTAATGGTATTCAAATATTTCAGATCATTAAAGAAGAACAAAGTTTCCCTCTCTTTTTATAAAGTCAACAATACAAAAATAACAAAATCTGCCAAAGCATAATATAAGAAAACTTCAGAAAATATCACTCATGTGCATGGATTTCAAAAATCCTTTAAAAAAATTAAAGAACAAAATTTACCAGATAAACATCATCATAGCATCAAGAGGTTACAATACAACCCAGTGGAATTCATATCAAGAATGCAGGGATTGGCTGTAATCCTAGCACTCTGCGAGGTCTGGGCAGGGGGATTGCTCAAGCTCAGGAGTTTGAGACAGCCTGAGGAAGAGTGAGACCCAGTCTCTACTAAAAATAGGAAAACCGGAGCTGGCGGGTTCAAATCCAGCCCAGGCCTGCCAAACAACAATAATAACTATATCCAAAAAATAGCTGGACGTTGTGGTGGGCGCCTGTAGTCCTAGCTACTTGGGAGGCTGAGGCAAGAGAATCACTTAAGTACAAGAATTTGAGGTTGCTGTGAGCTGTGACACCATGGCATTCTATCCAGGGTGATAGCCTGAGACTGTCTCAAATATATATATATAAAGCTTAAAAAAATAAAATAAAAAAAGGAAAACTAGCAGGTGTCATGGTGAGCCCTGTAGTCCTAGTTACTTGGGAGTCTGAGGCAAGAGGTTAGAGGTTGCTATGAACTATAACACCATAGCACTCTACCCAGGGTGACAGAGCAAGAGTCTGTTTCAAAAAAAAAAGAATGCAGGGATAGTCCAGTAATAAAAAGCTATTAATGTAATTTTCCATTACTAATAAATCAAACAGGCCAGGAACAATGGCTCAGGCCTATAATCCTAATACTCTGAGAGGCCAAGGTCAGAGGACAGAGGATCCCTTGAGCTCAGGAGTCAGAGACCAGCCTGAGATAGAATGAAATAGAAAATAGAAAAACATAAGCTGTAGATCATAGTGGGTGTCTGTAGGCCCAGCTACTCAGAAGGCTGAGGCAGGAGGATTGCTGGAGCCTAAGAGTTTGAGGTTGCTATGAACTAGGCTGACACCACAGCACTCTAGCCTGGCCAGTAAAGACTCTGACTCAAAAAATAATCAAAACAAGAAAAGTCCAAAGATACTATCCATTACATTAATGAAAAAAAAAAAAACTCTTAAAAGAATAGAAATACGTGAAATAATTGGAAAAAAAAAAGCACAACACACCAAAAGTTATGTGATTGATACAGCTTTCATAATGCTTGGAGAAAAATTTAATTTATAGACTTCAATTTTAAATCTAACCTATACTTACAAAGAAGAAAGATCTCAAATAATCTTACCTTAAGAACCTAGAAAAAGGCTCGGCGCCTGTGGCTCAAGCGGCTAAGGCACCAGCCACATACACCTGAGCTGGCGGGTTCGAATCTAGCCTAGGCCGCCAAACAACAGT